TTAACATTTCTCAGAACGGAGGAAGGGTCACCAGACCCGAAATGTTAAATCTGATTTCTCTTCACAGATGCTACCAGACCTGCTGGGCTTTCCCAGCAACTTCTGGTCTTGTTTCTGATTTACAGCATCCACAGTTCTTTTGGTTTTTATCTTCTGTTGGGAACTGGCCGAGAAAAGATTATGCAAATTAGTTACCAATCAAAGGATACTGTAGACGAATCGGCATTGAGCTGTTACAATGCTCAGGACCGGCAGCTGGTTGGATGTTGAATTGGTCAATCAAGGGAGAACTGGTGCTAACCAGCCAACCACAAGGAGAACCACCTGCCAATTTTTAAACCCAATGCCCTGACCGATGAAGGCAAGCATGCTGTATGCCTTGTTGATGACCTTCTCCACCTGCGTTGCCACTTTCAGTGACCTGTGTACCTGTATACCCAGATCCCTCTGCCTATCAGTACTCTTAAGGGTTCTGCCATTTATTATGTATTTTCCATCTGGATTAGACCTTCTGAAATGCATTACCTCTCATTTTTCCATATTAAACTCCATCTGACATCTCTCTGCCCAAATCACCAACCGATCTATATCCTGCTATATCCTCTGACAGTCCTCATCGCTATCCGCAATTCCACAAACCTTTGTGTCATCCGCAAACTTACTAATCAAACCAGTTACATTCTCCTCCAAATCATTTATATATATTACAAATAGCAAAGGTCTTTACACTGATCCCCAAGGAACACCACTGGTCATAGCCCTCTATTCAGAAATGCACCCTTCCACTCCTACCCTCTATCTTCTATGACCGAGCCAGTTTTTTTTTTTAATCCATCTTGCAAGTTCACCTCTAACCCCGTGCGACTTTACCTTCTGTATCAGCCTGCCATGAGAGACCTTGTCAAAGGCCTTACTGAAGTCCATGTAGACAACATCCACTGCCCTACCTTCATCAATCATCTTCATCACTTCCTCAAAAAAACCCAACCAAGTTAGTGAGACATGACCTCCCCTTCACAAAACCATGGTGCCTCTCGCTAATATGCCCACTTATTTCCAAGTGGGAGTAAATCCTGTCTCGAGGAATCCTCTCCAAAAACTTCTCTACCACTGACGTAAGGCTCACCAGCCTGTAATTAGCTAGATTAACCCTGCCACCCTTCTTAAACAAAGGAACAACATTGCCTATTCTCCAATCCTCTGGGATCTCCCCTGTCGCCAGTGAGGATACGAAGATTTCTCTCAAGGCCCCAACTATTTCTCAGTAAAAACCGAAAGAACTGCAGATGCTGTAAATCAGATACAAAAACAAATTTGCTGGAAAAGCTCCACAGGTCTGGCAGCATCTGTGAAGGAAAAAACAGAGTTAACATTTCTGGTCCGGTGACCCTTCCTCAGAACTGATGGTGGCTGGGAAAACGTCAGTTTATGTGCTGAGAAAAGGGGAGGGTGATGGGGTAGCGAGTAAACGATAGGATGGAGCCTAAAGAGAGAAGAGCAGTTGGTCAGACAAAGAGTTGATAACAATCAGGCTGGGAGGGTGAATAGTTGTTACTGGGGACTGTTAATGACTAATAACAGGTAGTGTGTAATGGCAGGCTATGTGGAATGGTCTGCCATTACACACTACCTGTTATTAGTCACTAATAGTCCCCATTAACAACTATTCACCCTCCCAGCCTGATAGTTATCAACTCTTTGTCTGACCAACTGCTCTTCTCTCTTCAGGCTCCATCCTATCGTTTACTCCCTACCCCATCCCCCTCCCCTTTTTTCTGCATATAAACTGACGTTTTCCCAGCCACCATCAGTTCTGAGGAAGGGTCACCGGACCCAAAACGTTAACTCTGTTTTCTCCTTCACAGATGCTGCCAGACCTGCTGAGCTTTTCCAGCAACTTGGTTTTGTCCCAGCAATTTCCTCCCTTGCCTCTCTCGGTAGTCTGGGGAATATCCCATCAGGCCCTGGTGACTTGTCTACCTTCATGTTTTTCAAGACCCCCAATACCTCCTCCCTTTTGATCTCAAAATGACCCAAACTATCTGCACACCCTTCCCCAGACTCATCAGTCACCAAGTCCTTTTCTATGGTGAATACTGACACAAAGTACTCATTTAATACCTCATCCATTTCCTCTAGCTCCACACATAAATTCCCTTCCCTATCCTTGAGTGGGCCAACCCTCTTCCTAGCTGCCCTCTTACTCTTTATATATGTATAAAAAGCCTTGGGATTTTCCTTCATCCTGTTGGCCAATGACTTTTCATGACCCCTTTTAGCCCTCCTGACTCCTTTCTTAGGTTTCTTTTAACTTTCCTTGTATTCCACCCTTTTGCTTTGTTTGTTCCCAGCCTCCTAGCTTTGACAAATGCTTTGTTTTTCTTTTTGACTAGGCTCACAATATCTCTCATTATCCAAGGTCCCCTAAACTTGCCATACTTATCCTTCATCCTTACAGGAATGTGCCAGTCCTGAGTTCCTATCAACTTACACTTGAAAGCCTCCCACATACCAGATGTTGATTTGCCCTCAAACATCTTCCTCCAATCTATATTCTTCAGTTCCTGCCTAATATTGTTGTAATTAGCCTTCCCCCAATTTGGCACCTTCACCTGACAACTACCATCTTTATCCATTAGTACCTTAAAACTTACTGTATTGTGATCACTGTTCCCGAGTTGCTTCCCTACTGAGACGTCCACCACCTGACCAGGTACATTCCCCAATACTAGGTCCAGTACGGCCCCTTTTCAAGTTGAACTATCTCCATACTGTTTCAAGAAGCCCTCCTGGATGTCCTTATAAACTCTGCCCCATTCACGCCTCAAGCACTACGTGAGTCCCAGTCAATATATGGGAAGTTAAAATCACCCACAACAACAACCCTGTTACTTTTACATCTTGCCAAAATCTGCTTACATATCTGTTCTTCTATCTCCTGCTGGTTGTTGGGAGGCCTATAGTCAACCCCAAACATTGAGATTGCACCCTTCCTGTTCCTGAGCTCTACCCATATTGCCTCACAGTACGAGCCATCCGAGGTACAGTACAGCTGCAACAGTCCCCTTAACAAGTAGTGCAACTCCCCCACCGCTTTTATATCCCCCTCTATCCTGCCTGAAACATCTGTATCCTAGAATGTTAAGCTGCCAATCCTGTCCCTCCCTTAGCCAACTCTCTGTAATAGCAATGACATCATAGTTCCAAGTACTGTCACTTGACAACAGCCCCTCCCCAAAACACCTTCTGGAAGCAGTGACTGCATTGATGCAAATCTTCCTCACATCAGCCAATCAGCATCACCACTCTTCTGCCCTCTTCCAGGTCCGGATCTGCCCCAGAATATTGAGGGAGGCCAGAGAACAAATTGCTGGAGCATTGATAGATAACTTTGTATCCTCTTTGGCCACAGGTGAGGTCCCAGAGGACAGAAGAATAACCAGTGTTGTCCCATTGTTTAAGAAGGGTAGCTGGGATAATCCTGGAAATTACAGACTTGCAAGTCTCATGTCAGTGATAGGGAAATTATTGCAAAAGATTCTCAGGGACAACATCTATGCACATTTAGAAGTGAATGGAATGGACTTACTAGTGATAGACAGCATGGTTGTGTGCTGGGGAGATCGTGCCTCACTAACTTGATTGAGTTTTTCCAGATGGTGACAAAGATGATCGATGAGGGAAAAGTGGTTGATGTTGTCTACATGGACTTCAGCAAAGTCCTTCATGGCAGACTGGTACAGAAAGTGAAGTCACTTCGTATTGGGGTGAGCTGGCAAGGTGAATACAGAACTGGCTTAGTCATAGGAGACAGAAGGTAAGAGTGAACAGGTGCTTTTCGGTATAGAGGTTGTGACTAGTGGTGTTCCACAGGGGTCAGTGCTGGGACCTCTGCTGTTTGTGATCTATATAAATGATTTGGCAGAAAACGTAGCTGCCCTAATTAGTAAGTTTGCGAACAATACAAAGTGAGGAGGATTGTCAGAGGATACAGCAGGATATAGATCAGTTGGAGGCATGGGCAGAAAAATGGCAGATGGAGTTTAATCTAGGCAAATGAGGTGATACATTTTGGAAGGTCAAGTACAAGTTGAAATTATACAGTGAATGGCAGAACCCTTAGGAGTATTGATATGCAGAGGGATCTGGGTGTGCAGGTCCACAGATCATTGAAGGTGACAGCACAGGTAAATAAGGTAGTAAAAAATGTTTACGGCATGCTTACCTTCATTGGAAGGGGCATTGAGTATAAGGGTAGACAAATTATGCTGCAGCTTTACAGAACTTCAGTTAGGGAATATTGAGTACAGTTCTGATCACCACACTACCAGAAGGATGTGGGTGCTTTGGAAAGGGTACAGAAAAGATTCACCTGGTATGGGGACTTTAGTAATGAAGAAAGGTTGGATAGACTGGGTTTGTTTTCCCTGGAATGCAGGAGGTTGAGGGGTGGCCTAATAGAAGTTTAGAAGATTGTGAATGGCATGGATAAATGGAAAGTATGAGGCTTTTTCCCAGGGTGGAGGGGTCAATTTCTCGGTGACACAGGCTCACGGTGCAGGGGTTGGTGAGGGGGGGGGGGGGGGGAGGGGAGGGGGAGGGGGGAGGAGGTTAAAATAGATGTATGAGGCAGGTTTTTCACACAAAAAGTGTGCTGTGTGCCTGGAACGTGTTGCCAGAGCGGGTGGTGGAAGCAGACACAATAGCAGCATTCAAGAAGCACTTGGATGAACATACGAATAGGGAGGGAATAAAGATAATGGATCCTGTAAGTGAAGACAGCTTTAGTATGGAAGGCGGCACAGGCTTTGAGGGCCAAGGGCCTGTTCCTGTGCTGTATTGTTCTTTGTACTTTGTTCAATGGCACTCTTGGACATTTACGATAGATGTGATGTGTTTTATAATTGAAGGTTTCCACAGTATTATACTTTTTGTTCCAAGGCTTCGCATTCACATATCAAATATACATTAAAAAACAGATTATGAGTTCTTTTTCCTACCTGTTTAACTTTGTAAAGGAATGCAAAAGATAATGAAATGTTGGTGTTTCTCTTCACTGTAGATACCACTGAGTTTCTTCAGGTTAAGGTTTTTGGCTTTAATTATGAGTCATAAACATGATGGAACAGGTGATGCAGTTTAAAGTAAAATAATTCAAGGATACTGTAAATATTTTTGTATTTAATCCACAAAAAATAGACATCGTCTTGCTGCAAAATTGGGCTTAAGGACCCATTGTCCTCCTTGCTTAGAAGTAAAGGCATGAAATTCTCAATCATCAACATTGCAACATTCCCTCGATAATTGCGGGAGATGAGAACCTGTATAGGCAAATTGTTAGAATCCGTTATTAAGGAAATAATAACGGGGCAGTTGGAAAGTCAAAGCGCAAACCATCAGAGTCAGCCTGGTTTTTATCAAGGGTGAATCATGTTTGGCTAATTTGCTCGAATTAATACCAAACATAGAATAGTTCGGTACAAGAACAGCCCCTCCAGCCCATTTCTGTGCCAACCATGATGCTATTCTAAACAAATCCCATCTGCCTGCACATGGTTCGTATCTCTCTATTCCCTGCCAGTTCATGTCTCTGTCAAAATGCCTCTTAAATGTTGCCATTAAATCAGCTTCTACCATCTCCCCTGGCAGTGCATTCCAGGCACCTACCACCCTCTATGTAAAAGACTTGCCTCATACATCTCCTTTAAATTTCTTTTGCCCTCTAACCTTAAATCTATAGCTCATAGTATTTGGCATTTCCACTCTGGGAAAAAGACTCCGACTGTCTACCCTATCTTTGAAGATGCAAAAGGCCAGGTGGATAATGGGGATCCTGAAGATGTAGTATCTCTGGACTTCCAGAAGACACTTGATGAGGTGCTGCACAAAACGTTAATACACAAGGTAAGATCACATAGGGTTAGCAGTAAAATATTAACTTGGATAGAAGATTAGCTAACCAATAGAAAGCACACAGTCGGGATAAATGGCTCTTTTTCCAGTTGGGAAGATGGAACTAGTGGGGTAAAACTGGGTATGGTCCTTGGGCCCCAATTATTTAGAATCCATATTAATGACTTGGTTGCAGGGATAGAAAGTACTACAGCGAAATTTGCATAAGATACTAAAGTATATGGGAAAGTTCCAATGAAGAAAGAAGAAATTTGCAAATAGGTAATTTAGGTGAATAAGCCAAAATTTGACAATGATTATGTTTAATGTGAATACATGAGATGCTATCCATTTTGGGTGGAGGAATAGAAAGGCAACTTTTTATTTCAATGGAGAGGAACTTCAGAGTGCTTCAGCATAGAGGAATCTAAGTGCCCTCGTGCATGAATCACAAAACGAGAATGAAGGTACATCAGGTAATAAGGATGATAAATAGAATTTTGGCACTTATTGCTAAATGAATAGAGTATTAAAAAGTAGGGAAGTGTTTCTGCAACAATACAAGCATTAATGAGACCACATCTAGAGTACTAAGTACAATTTTGGTCCCCTTACTTGAGGGGGGATGTAGTTGCTTTGGAGACAGTTCAGAGGTGGCTGACTAGATTGATTACAGAGATGAGGGACTTATTTTACGAAGAGACATTGAGCAATTTAGGCCTATACTTTCTGGAGTTTAGAAGAATGAGAGAAGATCTAATTGAAGTAAATAAGATGCAAAAGAAGATTGACAAACTAGGTGTAAAGAAGATATTTCTTCATGTGGAGGAATCTAGAACAAGAAGTCATAGTTTTTAGGATAGCAGATTTAAAAGACATAAGGAGAAATCACTTCTCTCCAAAGGGTCATAAATCCGTGGAATTAATTACACAGAATGTGTGGTTGTCAGGACAATGAATAAATTTAAAAGGAGGAGATAGACAGTTCTCCACCTTTAAATTTCAGCCATGTTTTAATGAAAAAGCATGAGGAAAGAGGTCAGGCCAGTAAGGAGGAAAACCATGTCCAATTACTTGCCTGCCTGCTAATCTCCAAAAAGGAAAATTGCTAGCAAGTTGTCCATTTGAAGTGTTTCTGAACCATTTACTTTTATATAGCAATTAAATAATATTACATGAAATAAACATTCCACGGAGAAATAGCGCCTTGATGATCTCAATACATACTTCAGTGAACACATTTCAGTATTTTTCATTCCATTAGCTGTGCAGCCATGAATTAAACATGAATTTGAATGCATGAAATCTGTGTTGCACTAGCCAAATTAACGCAATAGTTAAAATGTATCCTTACTGACATTAAGGATTGTTTCCCAAAGGAAATTGTTACGAATAATTTATAAATTTCTGCTATATTGTACCACTGTTTGGTACAGGCTTGTTTTTCCATTAATAGGAAAGAATAAAATATACTCAAGGCTAAAAGTACTTGAACTATTTAACAACTAAACATGGCACAAACCTACCTGTCCTTTGTTATCCAAAAAGTAAATGGCAGAAAATGCCATGGTCTGCAGAGTTTCCAGGCGTATTATATTTAAAGGAGGATTACAGGCTTTTAAATCATGTAGTACATATATACACACACATGCATACACACACCCTAAAAAGATCACAAGTCAAGAAGGAAACACTGACTTTTACGTTTCAAAATCAATAGGACCCTGACAGGAGTGGGTCATGGCAAAAATGAAAGCAAATAGATAGAAGCAAGCAGAATGTTACTTTGCCCTATTGATCAACCAGAAGGTATAAACTTGAAAAACACTAGTGACGTTTAACACTCTAACATATGTCTTAGTAACTGACAGAATTAATTGCCTGATAATAAAGGAATCATCACTAGCTTCTCAGTTTGATCCAACAGACAAATCAATTTGAAAATAAGTTTATAAATGTCAGTTATATCTAAGAGTTCACTGCCTGATACCATATATGTACAAAATTGTGAGAACTGTAAAACAGAGAACTCAGTGCAAATATGTATATGTACTTTCCTGATTTCACAGTTAGAACAGAAACTATTAAAAGCCAACCACTATTTCATCACAATGTGCACCATATCTTTAATAAAAGGGAAAATGTTTTCCTATAAGCAAGATCCTTCCTGTATGAATAAAATTTTCTTAAGATCAAATATCTTCATTTGGGAAATGGAAACGGGAACGGGATGTATTTAAGCATATCTTAAATTGGATCTATAGCCTACATTTGCAGATATTCTTCTTGTTAACTTGAAGCAAAATGTGTGAGTACGAAGAAAAATATTCATTTGGTATGATTTTTTTTATTTAAAACTGATTTTGAAACTTAGTGTTCAATATAGGTTTAACCCCTGCCTGATTTCAATTCACAATTGCTATTTGTCTGAACAGTTTTCTACGTCCATTATCTATTTTTGTATATCGATCAAAAGCAGGAACACAAAACGAGTACTGAAGCTCTTGAGATAGCACAGAAAAAAAAATACACAAAAACAGAGTTAAAATGTTGTTTTTTCATCGTTGAAAAAGGTGGTAGCACAACAACGATTAGAAGAGGGAAAATTGCAAGAGGTTTCAGTGAAATTAATGATAGAACAAATATTATGGGTACAAAACAGTAAAAGGGAAATTTAGTAATAATACTAGGAAGTTCCTCAGAGAGCGTACAGAACGAGAAATAAATATTTTAAAATATTTTTGTGGGATTTGGCATAGCCAGCATTGGTTGCCCACCCCTATTTCCATAACTGAACCATTTAATTGTCTCAGAGATAGTGGGAACTGCCGATGCTGGAGAATCTGAGACAACAAGGTGTAGAGGTGGATGAACACAGCAGGCCAAATGATGCTGCTTGGCCTGCTGTGTTCATCCAGCTCTACACCTTGTTGTCGCATTTAATTGTCTCGCTGTTTCACAAGACCAGAAGGCTCAACCACAATGCTGGGGGTTTGACATCATATTTAGGTCTGACCTCGTAAGGTCCTTCCATAACACAGAGAATCAGATGGATTTTTCAGGCAATGATGCTTTCATGGTCATCATTGCTGAGCCTACCTTTTAATTTGAAATTGATTAATTAATTTGCATTCAAGTTCCCAGCATAACATCTGATGGGATTTGAATTCACACTGATCATAAGGCTGGGCCTCTGCAATACTAATCCAGTGTGAAATTACCAATCCATCAATTTGTAGGTATGGTAGTAAGAAGAAATTGTCCTCGAATTAACAGCTGGGTGGTGTGATTGTGGATGGGAGTGATGGATGGAGGAATATAGTCAATACAGTGTGGAGCTGGAGGAAGACAGCAGGCCAGGCAGCATTAGAGGAGCAGGAGAGTCGATGTTTCAGGTGGGGACTCTTTATCAAGACTCAAGACGAAAGGTCCCTGACCTAAACATCAACTTTCCTGCTCCTCTGATGCTGCCTGACCTGCTGTGCTCCTCCAGCTTCACAGTGTTGTCTCTGACTCCAGCATCTGCAGTTCTTGCTATCTCTGCATGTAGGAATATTGCTAATTTCTGGATGGGTATAAAATTTTTTAGCCTCAAGATCCCCTGTTTTAAATCATTAGAATATTTTGCTACTTTCTAAGTGGTGTCAAAACAGGTCATTGAAGTAATGAGTAGCACATAAGCCAAGAGCTGGAATGGAGGACTCTGGGTGGCCCTGGGTGAAGTGTTGAACTGTTGAACTGTTGAACTGTTGAACTGTGAGATGGAGATTTGTAGACACTTTATCCAGGTGGAAAGTTTTGCCACTGTCTTTCCCAGTCAGTTTTCAGTAAAATTACAAAAAGCAGCTTAATCTTTCCCTCTCTGCAGCTATCATATCTTCCTTGGCATATACACAGAATAATACTGTCTCATGTAGGAGCCTCCATTACCACTTCTATGTCCAGTTACAAATTGATACACCAGCATTGTTTTCAAACACTGTACACAATACTCCACACCAAGACTCCAATTTCACATCTGCAATGTTGGTTAGACAAATGTATTTATGTGTCTTAGTAAACCTCAGCCATTACTTTAAAATTTCTGATCGTAGTTGACCTTGTTAGTGCATCAATGCCACAATCATCTCTGCTGCTTAAAATGGTAATTAAATATTTGAAAACATTCTTGCACTGAAATCAGAAAACCTTTATCAGTGAATTTAAATCATAATTAGTATGAATTTAGATGGGGTGGGTAGGAGAGAGTCAGTGGTTATTAATTAACTTGAAAGTAATTTATCTATCCAAAAAGTTTGAGAACCACTGTGCTAGGTCAATGGTTCACAAATTGGGATCTGTGGAGAATTTCAAGAGTATGCGTGAAATAGTCATAGTATGCAAGAGAAAAAACACAAAGTCAAGAAAAAACAAAAGACAAGCCAACTGCTTTGTATAAATTAACAAGGTACTCACTGATTTTGGATATATTTTTCTGACTGTAGAACTGTCAATCAAATTAAAATGCCTCCCAGAAATTACATAATAGATTTGTAGACATAATCCTCTATTGTATGACAGAATGCACAACTGAGAAAAAGCAGTAATTTTAAATAGGTTTATCTGTAAAGCATTTTCGGATACAGTCTCTTTTTTGTGGCAGAGAATTTTGACTCATTTCAGAGATTAGAGAAGCCACAAATAAGGTTCATGAACCAACTTTCAATCTGCATTGGTTTGCTTTTTCAAGAAACAGCACTCATTCATTTCATACCAAATCTCAATTTTTTTCCAAAAAAAAAAAAAAAAATCATCTCCTGATTTGAGAGATGGTGGGGTTGGCATTGCTGCAGGTCTTGCTTGCTGGTATCAATCTTTGGAATCTTTCAACTATTTCAGAGGTTCTCTCACTTGCTGTGTGTCAGCAAGACCATCTCTTATGCCCCATCACTTCCTTTTGCTGTAAGCCAAAGAAACCATTCTAAACTTTTATCGGCTCCTCTAAATGGTGAATATCTTTTTGTTCTTTTGTTTTCTCCTCCACAGCACCACACCCGAAATAGCCAACTAGTTAGGATATCAGCTCAGGTGAATGCATTTAACAAAAGGGAGAAATCTCACCTCATTTGAAAGTGGTGTTTAATAGTTATCACAAAACTGCAATTCCAAAATCATGTAACAGCCAGAACAGTATTCAATTCCACTGTGTTTGTTTATAGAATTGGAACAGACGCATAGACAGATTATGCATGTTGTTATGAAAGTTCATTTGTCCTGAAGGGGAGGAAAAATGGAATTTAGCTTATAGATTCTGTAAAGATCCAACTTGCCCCTTTAAAAATAGATCAGAATGTCATTTTGAACATGGTGTTTAAACAGCATTTAAGAAATCATGTGATTTCAGGTTAATGACCGGCAAGCCATCTGGGGAGATAATTGTAAAGGTGTTTGCTGACTTTAGTTGTATGACTTCCGGACGAAGTAAGAAGAAATCTCCAGAAGCAGCAGGCTTTGGGGTGTTAAAAACAACATGCTACAAGGCTGTTGAAAACATGACTCTAGGGAATTCATGTTAAGTAACAGAAAGCTGAATTAGCATTTAAAGATTTCAGAAAAAGACAGTATCAAGTGAATGCACATCAGTATGCCAAAATGAAACGTATTAAAGTTCTCTGCTTAGCTGGCATAGCTGTACAGTGTAAAAATGGGGGGTGGTGAGACACTTCACTTGATGAATCTCCGTGAGGATATTGCTGGAGAAAGAAAGACTTTTCTTTTCGATGTTCAAAATGAAAAATTGTACTAATAACTCTTAATCTAATATCAAGTAGTTTGTGTTTTAGTCCTACGTAACAATTTCCATGTTTCTTTGTTAAAATAGATTGATAGCCTCTTGTTAACTTGTTCAGTGTCTGACCTCTTATAGTAAACAAGAAGAAAATTTAACCTTATTTATGGTCTATCATGCTCAATTTAACTCTGGGAGCTGACTTATTCACTATTACCATCAGCTAAGATCATAATTTTAGAGGCAATTTCAAAATTTGCTGGGGCTCCCAAATTATTTAATCAAATATGCAATAATATGAGGATATGTTGAAATGTTTAAGTAATTATCGCCCATCTTAACTAACTTTTACATGTACAGGCATCACAGAATGATAGTTGTGCACCCCAGTAAACACAAGTCTATTATGATTAATAGGGCATATCTCAATATCTGCTGACAATACCCTAGTTAGGAAAAATGGATTAAACACTGTAGCATGGTTTGCTCCAGAATAAAGCCATTAAGGCATCAGGTCATTATAGCAAAAGGCTTAAAAACGAACAAACAGTCTGTTTCTTTTATCATAATTCCTGGAATCAGCCCAGAAACAGTGTATTCAGTCTTTCAAATTTACTTGCACACCTTATTTATAGGCATACCTGCATATTGCTTCCAAATGCAGATTCCCAGGGTTGGTCAGACAATTGTATTTTGTTGAACAGTAAAACAGCACAATCTTTCCTTATGTAGAATGGCTGTGGACCAAAATTTATCAAGGTATTCCTACTTTGATGAAAGATTGATTGATTGATTGATTATTAAGCACTGAAATGAACACTGCACGTAATATCATCTAACTGCCTCCTTTTGAGTAGATCAGACTTTCAATACAGACTGTAGACAGCATTTTGAATACTACCACTTAGAGTCATAGAGCCGTACAGCATTGAAACAGAATTTTCCATCCAATTTGTCCATGCCAACCAGATATCCTAGATAAGTTTAGGCCCAGCATTTGGCCCGTATCCCTCTAAACCTTCTCTATTTATATGCCCATCCAGATGCCTTGTAAATCTTGTAAATTGTACCAGCCTCCTCCACTACCTCTGGCAGCTCATTCCATACACACACCACCCTGCGTGAAAAGGTTGCCCCCTTTGGTCCCTTTTAACTCTTTCCTCTCTTACTTTAAAACTATGCTCTCTTGTTTTGGACTCCCCCACCCCAGGGAAAAGACCTTGGTTATTCACCCTTTCTATGCCCCTTATGATTTTAAAAACTTCTATATGATCACCCCTCAGCCTCTAAATGCTCTGAACAGAATAGCACCAGCTTATTCAGTTTCTTCTTATGGCTCAAACCCTCCAACCCTGGCAACGCACTTGTAAATCTTTTCTGAATGCTGTTGAGTTTCACAAAGTTTTCTTATAGCAGGGAGATCAAAATTGGACGCAGTATTCCAAAAGTGGCCTGACCAATGTCCTACACAGGTGCAAGATTACCTCCCAACTTCTATGCTCAATGCACTGACAAATAAAGGCAAGCATACCAAACACATTCTTTGCTATGAGATAGCAACAACTGCAGATGCTGGAGTCAGAGACAAGATAATGTAGAGCTGGAGGAACACAGCAGGTAAGGCAGCATCAGTGGAGCAGGAAAGTTGACATTTCAGGTTGAGACCCTTCATCATTTCTGAAGAAGGGTCCCGACCCAAAACGTCAGGTTTCCTGTTCCTCTGATAATGCCTGGCCTGCAGTGTTACCTCTGACTCCAGCATTTGCAATTCTTGCTATCTGGGTAAGTGGAAGGTTGCTTTTCAGACTGAAGCCCTGTGCTCCTCAGATATTTGATACATTAGCCAATGGAAATCTGGGCCAGTTATCCTAGATGGGAGTTGTCCCTGAGGATCATGTGGAATCCCCATTGCAGCATACTCCAAAGGAAATGCCCTGGAAATTGGAGATTCCACTGGGCAATTCCTCTAAACCTGGAATGCTCCAAAGGTCTCCATCAAAACCAGAATTGAGGGTTCTGATGAAGTTAAATAAAATAGTTACTCAGGTAAAGTACAGTCTAACTGCTGACTAACTATTCAACAGAACTCATACTTAGTCCACAGTGCCAAATACACCTCCTCCAGATCCTGACCAATCCTAACATGACTCCTAGCCCCCCCCCACTGCTGGACCTAAACCTAATATCCACCCTTGACACCAGACCCAATTTCTCCCACCTAACCCTCTTGCACCTTAACCACCCAAACCCTGTTTATATGCCATCCTTACCCCCTCTCAGCTGGCACCCTACCCACCAACCATCCAGCATGCATGTACTTACTGTTTGACAGCAGCTGTTAAAGGCAATAAATGCTGGCTTAGCCAGCGATGCCCTCATCCCGTGAATGAATAAAAAAGAAAGCAGCTGTCGGTGCGTTTAAAATGTCAGAATACGGCAGTGACTGCTGTGAAAAGAAAAGTTAGTTTGCCTACTCACAGCAATTCTGCACATTGAAACAAACATTGTCAGAATTTAAGTACAGCTCTGCATTTCTGAAAGAAACATGATCAAAATCTCCTTTCAGAAATGTGAAGTTCAATTCTTTTATGAAAAAAGGGTCAGAGTGGCAATTTACAAGAAATTGCCACGTCTTGGAAAATTCAGCCCATTATGCTCTTGTGGTTTCCTATCTCTTGCTAAGTGAATGCAATAATTGCACTGAACAGAAGATGCTACAAATAAAAGCTCATGTGGGCAATGAGAAAGTCATATGTGATCCAGAAGAAAACAAGACATAATTTTTAAGAAAAGTAACAACTTTAGAGTTGCAAATTAAATTTTGACAAGGTTTCAAATAATGTGACTGATTTTGATTATAAACCTCATTAGAATGTATTTCCTAGCTGTGTGACATTTTCTCCACCATCTTCTTTGAAGAGGATGCACAATCATGTTAGGATTCATGATTTTTGATAATTATGTTCAAATTGTTACTTCAGACTAATGGAAAGGGATCTAAATCCACATCCTGTAGACTAAACAATTTGAAATGCGTGGAACAATGGTCAAAGCACTGCTTCAATATACAGTGAAACAGCCCACCATCACAGATATCTTCATTGCTGTTTTCTAGAGTAAAACCTACAGGATCCAGATATAAACTGACAGAATTCAAAGAAAAATATTTAATTGAGATTCATAGTGTACAGTAAAATGTTGCCACAATATCATATCATATCATATCATCTGTACTTATACGAGACGTTTCTGACTCTCCTATTGGGGTCAAAGAAAGAGAGATCCTATGGAGCTACTTCAAGTTGAATAGGGGATTTACTTGGCGGCCTGACCAATAATTAACTCTCAATCAACACAACAAAAACCAAAATAATGCTTTTGTACTGTGGGATCACACTACATGCAAGCCAGTTGCTATGTTTGTCTAGAAACATTAATGATTACACAATGAAAAGTACTTGAACGGCAAGCTTTAGGATGTACTGGGGTCGTCAAAGAAGTATAGAAATGAGAAACGTGTAGACTGATTTTACAAACCGATGTTACTGCAATGCGGATTAAAAGAAAGAGCATAATCTACAAATTATGAGATTACGACAGACAATGGCATCTAGCTGTAGGTTCTTTGTCGTATATGTTTTTATATACAATTCAGGTGGTAAAAATGTTATGAACTAGATACGTATTTCTCAGTTTACCTGCATTATAACTGGAGGATTAGTGAGGGCACAAAGATTTTGGGGCAGAAGACAAATAAACACACATTTACAAGTGAAGCTTTATTTCACAATAGAAAACCAATACGCTACAGTATCATTTCTTATCAAGATTTTACCAGTGGACTTTCATTTTACTTCCAGTACCTGAATATATACTATGGTTGTGGAACTTCCAGAATGCTCTAGAAGCACAAGTAAACAAGTTACCAAAAAATGAGGACAGCTTGGAGTTACGTTAAGGTGGTATTGGTTTTTGTACAGAGAGTAACACATAGCGTATATTACAAAAAAATCAAAGTTGTGAAACGAAATGGGGCTGTAACAAAGCTTACAGAGCCTCAAAAGCTCTGATGGAGGAGCTCTGATTGCTTTTTAAACCATGCCAGAAGTATAATTAGACCTTTGCTTGGGCCAGTGTTTTCTTCATTTGCAGTCAGAATAGGTGACTCAAAACTCTGGTAATTTTTCAGTTTCCTTCAAATAAATGTGCAAAGTTTTGAAACTCTCAGATAGCAATTGTTACAGTCCAAAAATTTTTTAAATTCCCAGACTGTTGCAACATTCCACACTGTTTTGCTTTATGACAGAAGCCCACATCACATTATTAAATTAAAAACAAAAAAAAACCTAAAATACTAGATTTGCTTAAAATGGTTTCAGACATTGTAGCAGCATCACCAGTAATATTCCACAGCTGAATCATTTGGGATTAACTCCCTCTACGAGATATTGTCGTGTTTACAAAGTGCCAAAATCACAGGACTCCAGCAGCAAGTTATATTGCTTCCATAAAGCTTTAATTACAACACAAAACATACACACACGTTACTTGCAAGTCAGGACAGATGATGCCAGAACCATCCTGGCACATTTCCTCTATTGACCCAATCCTATGATAGGAAGTCTTTTTTCTTTTAAAAATGCCTCTTAATATGACTGCACACAAGTGCATGTATTCTCTTCTCGAATCCTGTAGTGCAGACAGAAGCCCATTTGCTGATTTTAAAAATCCTTCATGCTAGAATGCATTTTTTCAGAAGGAAACAGTGCAAATGTGTTGAGGATGCAGGAAGCATGCTATTAACTGAGTGACATTTCAATTTAATTACATAGCTTCAGTACTCGGCTGCATATTCTGTGCCATGAAGACCCCTGCAGAGTAATGTGAATTCCTTAACAATGTCCTTTACACGTCTTTTATTCACTCTGTCTCTGTAAAACAGCATAAGTTAAACTTATTTTTTTTTCATTTGACAATATCATACTGATAACACAGGTCCATTAATTTATGATATATTAACTTATGGTTGCGCAAATTTTTACTACATTTTTACTTGTCACAACTTTCAATTTCTTGTTAAATTTAAATGTGGCATTGAACATTAGCAATACCTAAACTCATGTAAAATTAAGCTTATATACACTACTTACAAACAGCACACCTGTTAAACCTCTTTCTAAATAGTAACATTCATCCCAATTTCAGTGGGTGGTGATATTATCTTACACATTATCTATTCAGTTTGCTTGAGCTCAGTTCAGCCATTTTGCATACAGTCCATTTACAGTGCTTAAAAATGAAAGAAAGCATCTCATGCTCACAGTTCAGCTTGATGCCTCAAGATGTGATCAGAAGATTCTAACCCCACCCATTGTTTTTTTCCCCCAAGAAATAATGAAAAAAAAGGCAAGATATGTTTTAGCCTCCCGCTCCCTGTAGTATTCAAACAGTCTCACTTGGAGAACATAAAACAGTACAGCACAGTACAAGCCCTTTGGCCCACGATGTTGTGCCGACCTATTATCCTACTAAGATCAATCTACCCTGCATAACCTACATTTTATTATCCTCCACGTGCCTATCCAAGAGTTGCTTAAAAGTCTATAAAGTATCTGACTCCACTACCACTGCCGGCAGCGCATTCCACACACCCACCACTCTCTGTGCAAAGAACCTACCTTTGACATCTCCCCTATACCTTCCTCCAATCGCCTTTAAATTATGCCCCCTCGTAATAGTCATTTCAGCCCTGGGAAAAAGTCTCTGGCTATCCACTCCAGCTATGCCTCTCATCATCTCGTACACCTCTATCAAGTCACCCCTCATCCTTCTTCACTCCAATGAAAAAAGCCCTAGCTCCCTCAACCTTTCCTCATAAGACCTGCCCTCCAGTCCAGGCAGCATCCTGGTAAATCTCCTCTGCACCGTCTCTAAAGCTTCCACGTCCTTCCTATAATGAGGTGACCAGAACTGAACACAATATTCCCAGTGTGGTCTAACCAGAGTTTTATAGAGCTGCAGCATAACCTCGTGGCTCTTAAACTCAATTCCACTGCCAAAGAAAGCCAACACCCCACATGACCTCTTTACAACCATATCAACTTGGGTAGCAACTTCGAGGGATCTATGGACGTGGACCCCAAGATCCCTCTGTTCCTCCACACTGCCGAGAATCCTGCCATTAACCCTGTATTCTGCATTCAAATTCGACCTTCCAAAAACTTAAACTAGCCTTTTAATTAACTTTTCTGCTCAAATTTAACATTTTATGCTCGAGTTTGCACATTTCCACAGACATACTAAATGAAATTATTAACTGTCTCAACACAATTATCACCAATTTTAAGTGATAATGTCAGGAATAAAAATTGGTTCAATTTTTTTCAATTTTGTTCGCTGTTATACTGTATGTTAAGCATCAGTCTACACAGTATTTCATGTTTCCTTTCACGCTGCCAGCAAAATCCATTCTTCACCACAAGCAACGCATCAACTCATCTATTAGTAACACTATGAAAATGACATTACACAAATTGTTACCAAATATTTTTCTGCTAATGCCCTGTGCGAATGCTGCTCAGAAAAAAAAAGTCTTATTTCTGAGACAGGCAAAGGATTTTGGTAACTTGAATCCAGTTCTCAAAAAGCATAGTGGACTGTCCAGTGTCATTCAACATGGCACCAAACTGCAGGAAAGCAACACTTTGGCTCTGGATGGACAATAAAAAAAAAAGCTTTTTTGGAGCCAGAGATGAGGCACACTTGTAGAAATGAAAACTCTGCACTTACAACTAACCTCTGAGCACTGAATGTGATTTACAACAAAACCCTGCAGTTATATTGCAGTAAAAATCCAAGGCACTTCACAGGAATGTCATCAAACAACTTAACACCAAGCCACATAAGGAGGGCAGAATGTATATATTGAGGATTGCCTAAAAGGAGAAAGAGAAGCTGGGACTTTTAGGGAGCTAGGGTCTTGACAGCTGATAACACAGGCACCAATGGTGCAGTGATTAAATGCTGAAGGGGCCAGATTTACAGCAGTGCAGTTATCATGACAGTTTGTAGGGCTGCAACAGGTAGCAGAGATGGAATCATGGAGGAATTTGCAAACAAATATGAGAAATGTCATAGATTTAATTGAAAGGGCAAACTCTGCCTTCATATTTGTTCGTAAGAAAGGAACTTCACCAATTCTGAGTAAAAGAACTCATCAGATTAATGACATTGTGAACTGGCATCTTATGTCAACCACATGCAGGGCAGCTGACACACGGTACTGGCAATGTCTTATCCAGTACAACAATGACATTCTTTAAAGTAAAGAGGAGAAATGGTGACATTTAAATAACTGCTTGGTACAGAACATGAATGTTGTTAAAAGGAGACAAAAATCAAAACTTTCATCTTGCACTCATCAGAATTAGGATGCAAGAACGGACTGGAAAATGGGACACCATTTTATAAAGCATGAAAAGAGGGTGCTGACTGGTTAAACGTTATTGGCACAGAGATGCAGCAATAACATTTAACCGTCAATCTTCATTCGCAGAACAGCAGGTAGATTCCATTTTTATGTATATGGCACCTTTTATGTAAACTAAAAAGGTCATGGAACAGCCAAACTCTGCTGCATCCCCTGACAACACCCTGAGCAATTAGAATCTATTTCCCTGGTCTGAGAATTAAGATTGACAGTTAACTGTTCTTGCTGTATCACTTTGTCAATATGGCCCAACCAATCAGCAACTTCTTCTGCCGTAAAAAAGTGTCCCTTTTTCTCCCGTCTGTTTCTTGTATCCTCACTGATCAGTGAGAGATGAAAAGCTTCAAATTCTTGTCTTCTTTTAGCCATGTTTAAGATTGACATTTATCACAACTAGAAATAAAAATACTGTATCTTTTTAAACACATTTACAAAAGGGAAACTGATATTTTCATGCATTAGGCTGTAAAAAAAAAAGTGCAACAGATTTTCAACTTTTTGTTGTAATATATCCTTATCAGATAGCTCGAGAAAATTGTTCTTTTAGCTTCTATTGAAATTACATTTCCCCTGAAACTGTATAATTTTGAGATATCTCCTTTTGATAAAAATTCATGGGAAAAATAGCAGTTTTCTCTCCACTAGTAAAGTTGAAACTAAAATAAAAGGAATATATAAACAAAAAAGGCACCCGAAAGTATTGGGAAAAGTTTGGCATAAAAAAAATTTGGTACATGATAGCAATGTTTGCATTTGGTAATAGTATGCTTTGGTTTATGCCTCCCATGACCTGGGATGCTATTTCCAGCGGAGGCTGCAAAATGAATAACTCAGATTGGGTGCTCCCTATTCTCCATGGCAGCAATGGTAGCTATAAAGTGAAGGCGTCGGTGGAACTGCCCTGGAATTGGATCGGAGGCCC